CGATACGATAACGATCTCCTGTTTGCAACCACACAAGGTTCTATCCCCTGACATTGTCGTATAAACAAGCCAGCGTGTAGGTCGCGTTAAAGACAAGATACATTCATGTGATGGAATCATGGTGGACGCACAGTATTACGTGGGCTCTGTATCTTATGGTGGTTGATTTCAGGTGCATAGTAATAGGCTTCTAGTATATCACCCTCCTTGAACCATACCGTTGTACACGTCTTCCCCCTCAAGCATATCCGAATCGTGACAGACGTGCCACTTCCTTCAACTTCTCGTCCCTTGCCAGATTCTATGTCTCCAAGCACAGCAACCATAAAGTCAAACACCCCGATAGTTCTTCAAAAGCTAATAACCAAAGCACGCGTACTCAACCGGCCGGCAACAGTAGGAGTGGATCCTAGTGATCGTAAATGCCAGAGTGAAACTTGCGCTCGTCGTAGAACTTGGCAGTGATCTTCCTGCCTCTGAATTCCCATCCTTCATCGAAGCGGTTGACGGCGTTGAGGGCACTGAGAACTGACTGGAAGTGGATATAAACTACGCCGTCCTGGTTGTTCTCATCTAATTGAACATGCTCAACTGGACCAAACTGGTTCTGTTAGCATGTGTACCTTCGTAACTTTCGAATGGAATTTACCTTGTTGCTGAACGCTTCACCCATGTCTTGTCGGATACCACCGTCGTTGCGTTCGGCATTGGCTTCCCAGTCGACACCGTCCACACAGCCCCAAGTGACCACAACAGCGGACTCGGCACCAAACTTGCCAGGCTCGTCTTTCTGAGTGCGCATACCACCACTGACATCCCAGACCTGTTGTGACTTGACCTTGCCGTTTTCGTCGTCGAGAGTGCTTGCACCCTGTGGAACCTTGCGTTTTTTCACTTCTAGATGGGTAATAACACCATCGTTGTTTTTTCCGAGACCTTGGCCCTTCTTATAACCCATTTTAGCCATCATTGCTTCCGCCTTGCTAATCTTAGCGCGCTTGGCAGGGCGTTCTTCGCGGGATGGCTCGTTGTCTGCATCTTCCATTTGAACGTCGGGGCGCTCGAACCGGACTGGTGGTGCAGATATAGTCGCATTTGCATAGCGTACCGGCGGTGCAGAGATAGTCGCGCCTTGATAGCTCGGCGGAGGTGGGGGCGGAGGGTTATCGTCGGTGACTGATGGAGGCGGAGGCGGTACGACATCAGGCTGTTGCTGGGATAGGCGCATGCGACGGGCATAAGCGTCTTCTCCTGACAGGTCAGACGAGGGAATTGCAGAGCTATCTTCGTAAGATGCAGGCGGGGCGAAAGACGGTTTGGTAAACGTAGCAGGCATTGGGCTCGAAGAAGACGCTGAATGGGAACCGTTGATCTCCTCACTGCCGTCACGAGACTTGTACTGAGCGGCAGCTCCCCGTAAGAAAGCTGTGAAGCCTTCCTTCTTGCGCCGGTAGCCGCCACTGGCCTTGTATGCTCGAAGGTTGGAGTACCGCTCGGGTTTGTGGGGAGCTTGAGGATTCCACTGTCCGAATATCTTGTTGAACTTCTTCTGCTCTTTCTTCCTTTGCTTCTCCTCATAATTGCGGATCCTCTTTTCTTCCATAATCGACAAGTCGTCCTCTACGGTGCTGCGGTAATAGTCGATGCCATGCTGCTGGTTGTTGGCCGGACCAGAACCCGAAGAAGAGAGGGGTACAGCTACAGGCATGGTGGCCTTCTTGATGGTTGGGCCAGCTTTCTTGGCCTGGGGACGCTTGATATTGTGTGGGTTATGGAAAGCTACACAATCACATGAGTGATGCTTCAGGACAATGGTACGGAGCAGTTCAGATAGATACCAGGTGCTTTCTTCTGTTGCTCGGCCTTGGCCTGTTCCTCTGTATATTTGACAGGCGCAGCGGAGATGGTAGCCGAAGCATACGGATTTGGAAGGCCTTTCTGGGCGTAGGGGTTTGGAAGACCATAGGGGTTGGGCAGGCCTTGCGCCTTCTGCGGCTGCTGAGACGCCATGCTGATATCGATGTGCGCGCAGGCGCGACTTGGGGTAATGCGAATGTGGCTGCCCACGTCAATAGGTGAAAGGCAGCGGGGGAAGCTAGAGTGCAGGAAAATGGCTAGATTAGTAACTGTTTTGTGGATGCACACTACATGGAGCAGAGGCGGCGGTTGGGGTTTGTGGTTGTGGTTGTAAGGCTGTTGTGAGGGTGGTGGAGTGGCAGGCGCAATGTCAAAGGCCCGCCAAGCACCCCAGCCCGCGCGTATCGGCGTCGGTTCCCCACGCTAAGGCGTTAGCCGCATTACGTGTGCATACATGCAGGAACGCCCATTGCTATCCTGTCATACCAAATCCTTATCCTTGATAAGTCATTTCCATATCTCTCGATACATCTGAGCAGGCTCCGGTGTCCGCATTAGACCTTAGATTTTCCTTGCGCGTCATAGAAGCATCAAGGTACCATGGCCCTGAACCCCAGCGTTATGAGTGTCCATCTAATCGCAACCGCCAGATCCCCTATCTAGTAATCATCATGTCTCCAACCACTTTAGAACACGCCTTCTCCAAGGACTCGACATCGACCGCTGTCATCGTCCCCGGCAGCCCTGCCTTGACTGTCACGTACAAGAAGCTTGCCACCGACGTGAAGGCTTTCCAACAACAATTGGCAAAGGTCGGCGTTTCTGCCGAGGCAGCTGTGTCCATCGCACTGCCCAACACGTATGAGTTCATCGTGTCCTTCATCGCTGCATCATGGCAGAGAGCTATCGCAGCGCCACTGAACCCGGCGTACAAGCAATCCGAGTTCGAGTTCTACATCGACGACCTGAGCTCAGCAATTGCTCTGGTACCAAAGGGTGCATTTGCGCAAGATGCGGCAGCTGTCCGCGCAGCAAGGAAATACAATGCCGCCATCGCCGAATGCTATTACAATGGCAGCGAGGTCGTCCTGGATGTGAAGGAGGCTGGAAAGCTTGCGGGTAAAACCGCGCCCGTCCAGTCTGCGCAGCCCGACGATGTCGCTCTCGTGCTGCACACGAGCGGTACTACTGGACGACCCAAGGCTGTACCTCTGACGCATCGCAATTTGTTGCGCACCATGAAGAACATCCAGGGAACCTATGAGTTAACACCCAACGATCGTACCATGCTGGTTATGCCTCTCTTTCACGTGCACGGTCTGCTCGCTGGGTTTCTGGCTCCCTTGGCGTCGGGAGGCTCAGTCATTGTGCCGCCCAAGTTCTCCGCCTCCGAGTTCTGGAAAGACTTCAATGAGCACAAGGCAAACTGGTATACCGCCGTCCCTACTATCCACCAGATTCTGCTGAAGAGTCCCCTTCCGAGCCCGATGCCCAAAATCCGCTTTATCCGATCTTGTTCCAGTCCCCTTTCGCCCAAAACGTTCCACGAACTTGAGAAGGCGTTCGGGGCCCCAGTGTTGGAGGCATACGCCATGACAGAGGCTGCGCATCAGATGACTAGTAACCCCCTTCCTCCCAACCAACGTAAGCCCGGCAGTGTGGGACTTGGCCAGGGTGTCGAAGTTAAGATCCTTGATGATGCTGGCAAGGAGGTACCACAAGGAAGAGAGGCAGAGATCTGTATCCGTGGTGAAAACGTCACCAAGGGATATCTCAATAACCCAGCTGCCAACGCCTCATCTTTCACCAAAGACGGTTTCTTCCGTACTGGAGATCAGGGCAAGCAGGATGCTGAAGGATATGTCATCATTACTGGTCGCATCAAGGAGCTGATCAACAAAGGTGGTGAGAAAATTAGCCCGATCGAACTGGACAACGTCATTGCACAGAATCCCGCAGTATCTGAAGCCGTGAGCTTCGCCATCGAAGACGAGATGTATGGCCAAGATGTTGGTCTTGCGGTCGTGGTCAAAGAGGGCCATGCGCTGACTGCGGGAGAGCTGAAGACATGGCTGACGGATCGCGTTGCTAAATTTAAGCTACCGAAAAAGGTATGTCGACGTCCAATCGAACCCAGCGGTGTGAGACATAATCTAACAAATGGCAGATTTTCTTCACCGATATCATGTACGTCAACAACAAGAACAACAATGGAGATGAAACATGCACTGACTACGCACTCACAGGCCCAAGACTGCAACAGGAAAGATCCAGCGACGCCTTGTTGCCGAAGCGATGCTCAAGCAAGAACAGCCCAAGGCCAAACTATAGACACTTTACTAGAACTATTCCAAATTGCCATGTGCCATACAATTATACCATTCCGGGACAATCGACAGTCTCTTGGCCTAGATGTAACATACTTGTTCGACACCTCATCGCGTGGATAGATTGGACAGAACGATGTCAGATTTCTTCTCTATGTCTTTCGCCCCTCTCCAAAATTGCGTGAATCGGTCAACCTTACTCAAACTATCTTTCACGGTGCGGAGGCGGTTCGCGTGTATTGTTCCCAATAAGATAGCGTGTTCGCGAGGCCGACTGGGACTGGACTCCGCCTCTCTCGCCGCTGCGGATCTCATCCATAACTCTTCAAACTCAACAATGTGAGATCCTTGGATATTCAAATCTCATTCTGACTCTACAGAGCAATGATGCGGCTGGTGAGTGTTCAATAGTATAGGCGCGACGTGTTAGGCGGCGTCTGTCAACGCAGATAAATAGGCTGAGTCCACAGCACCTTTCCGACACAAATGCTGTGTTTCTTCGTTTTTGTTTGCTTTCCCATCTGCGGAATACTTTTCAACGACTCAACCGCTTTGAAGCAGGCTGTACTGCCCCTATCTTGATTCGTACTTTTCCCGATGTTTACTTTTCAACCACCTGTCTGCAATACTCACGTCGCCCTTTAACTTTTTATCTGACCACTCCGGAGACTACTGTTTTCCTCCTGGACCACAGGATGTCCACTAGATCTCCTTTTCGTCCCATCGATAAGCCCTGCATGTAAGGCTCGATTTGGCAGGTTGCTGGCATCATCCCTGCCCGTCATGTCTCAGGTTATACATCTAGGGACTGGCACTATGCGACCCACCCAGCAATCAAAGAGTACACAAAACTCGACAGCCAGCCATATTCCCTTGGTCAGCACTTCAACGAGTCGCTCCCCAACAGTCACTACCGATACTCCAACAATAGCAGACCTAACATCTCCTAATATGCCTTTCGTCGATACAGCTTCCAGCGCCCCCTCAACACCACGCTCATCTCAATCGTCGTTGAATGATCAATACAACACATCGCCATCTTCCACCTCATCACCACTGAGACCTCAAAGATCGAGCCTAAAGCCCAGTCTTAAATCTTCCGAATCGGTGACTATGATCTCTAATAGAAGATCGTCACCACCGGCGGTGCGGTTCGCGGAGCCAGATCCTCTGCCAAAGCCACAGACCTGGCCAAGAGCAAGACCGAAGACTATTCAGCTACCAGAACCTTTGGTCAACAAGATACCGAATCCTCTCACAAAGACTCAATATCATCATATACCATCGTTTACAAGTCCAACTACGACCTTGATGGAACAGATCGATAATTTCCAAGCGTGGGGAACACCAATATCGCCAACTCCCAAACGCCCAGTCTCTCTTCCCGTACGCTCAGCTGGATCGCTTAAGGTTGTTAGGAAAAGAGTAAGCAGTCTCAAAGCCAGATCGGTTTCTTGTCAAGAGCCCGATTCAAGATGGGAAGGAATTCCACTACCAGCTCATTTTACACCGCCAAACGTAGACTTGAAGTCGCGAGTGGCTTCCTACCAGTCTACCAAGTCCACCAAGTCCATCAGGTCTACCAGGTCTACCAAGTCCACCAACCTACGTATCTCTACTCAGTCGGCTCCAGTGGTCTTAGAGCCTTCGGTGTCCCCGCCGCCAGGTCAATACAACCCTCTAGACCACTACATACCTTGCCTGTATCCTTCATGTACCTTGCATTATACGCCTGCTCGTACGGGATCGAATTACTACCTACCTCAGAGCCCGTATAACATGTCCCGTCTTCACGGCTATTGCCCACGCCATGCCAACCAAGATTTGAATCAGGCCAACGTATCGTGCAAGCGCAAGTACGAGGATCTACGTCAGAGCGCCGGGCGGAAGACTCTGGGCGTCATAGCTGCAGAGTTTGAAATACTGAAAGAGGGCTTCAGACGAGAACGCCGACACAAGGATGCCGCACTAGTACAAGAGCAAAAGCAAAGAGTGTTGGGTGTCCGTCCGATATCCCTAAATCAGAAAAGTAATGGGACAAAAGGAAAACCAGGAGCCCAAGAAGATGCATGGGACTGGCGCTATACACTCCGTCCTTGCACATCTTCACACTGCAAAGCCTACTACACCCCTTATTCGAACCATTACACCTACTACCGTACACCGATTTCTGGCTTTCTCCCACAGGAGACTCTTTGCTCTGCTTGCGCGAAGACTGAGCTTGAAGGCTTTGTTGAGAAGATCAAAGAGAAATGGGGGAGTAGGTGTGAGTGGGATCATAAGGAATGGCACGACTGGTACGCCAATGCTTGTAATGATCGCACTATGGAGCAAGAATATTGGATCAAGGCACAAGAAAAATGCGTTAGAGAGAGGGGGCCTCCAAAATGGGTTGGCAGATTGAGGGATAGTGTTGTAGTGGAGGAGAATGCTATCGAACTGAAGAGAGAGAGGAAGAGCCTGATGAGGAAGTGGTTTGGGAGCATGTCTGCGTAACGCGATATCTTGTCAGTAGGGTATAATGATAACCGGGCTTGAGTTTGGATCGAGGCGTAGTTCACAAGCATGCCAATTGGCATTATGTTCCCCCAGAATTTACATAAGAATAGTCCCGTAGTCATACATCCAGGGATATCTCTGCATTGTCTTGGCACCAATACGCACTCTATTGCAGTAGATTAGAGGAACGACCTGAAAGTGATGTGCAACTATGAACGTGTAATGATGGTATGTTGTTCGATTTGAATCAAGTCGAGTCAGTTGGCTGAGGGTCTTGACATCTAGTGCGGGTCGCGAAGATACTTGGGTTGGCCAGTCGCCTAACCTCATGCTCAGCAGATGCACACAAATGTTGGTAATAGACATTATACGTATCGCCCAACATCATACTCTCCAAAGGGAGGATACGTCGCATACTCCGACAGATTCCCTTGCCATAGATATGAAACATGGTTCCGAGCAGTTCATGTCCTCCCCTGCACTATTCTTTGAGTTGCTTGGAACACATCCTTCTCAGCTCTTATTTCACTCTCAATGCATAGGTCAGAGGTGATCCATATCCTCGTCGACCAGAAGTACATGCATCAGCTGCCAGAAACCTCCCAAAGGAAATTACCCCATCATAGCTCAATACTTTCACATATTCTCTCCAGCTATTACGACAACAGATACGTCAGTACTTGTTTGCGACTGGTTTATGAAGCTTCGGAGATGGTACTTGATAGTTTTGGGATGTTCTCTATGAGAAGGTACGCAAGTACAACCAGTGGGTGCGTTGATGCTGGTATAGGTGAGAGGGAATATTAACCGAATTCGAGTCAGGAGTCCCAAGACAGTTGTGAGGCTTGTGGAGATATTGGAGAAACAAGAGCTTTCGATTGAGTAATTTACGACATGTTACGTAGGTCTGGAACAACCTGATGAGCGAGTGTCTCTTCCAGATTGTTCGATCGCTAGATTTGGTCTTCGGCTCAGTGTACAAGCCAAGGCTTCCCAATAATATCCACCGTGTTCTGGCGAGAAGAGTAGGAGATGATTTCGGTCTATGACCAGCACATATACTTAGTGAAAAGCAAAGTAACTGTGTTTCTAAACTGCGAAGCAGTCGTGGGTATCTCAATAGTACAGAAAGCTCGTCAATCGTAGGTACAATACTGTTTTGATAACAAAAGACGAAAGCTTACAAACTTAACCTATAGTCTATTACAAATCTAAACCAGAAGCGCATCCGTATCGCAGTTTTCGACCTGCTTTTGCCCCATAAATCGTATAAAAGGATACCGAGACACTTTTCTGGGCCACTCAACGTGGTGCCTCAAATGACATGGTACATTCCAATATATCCCTTCGATCCAGCCCAGCACCGCAGTCGGGGCATGTACACCCTGAAAGTCGACTCTTTCAAGATAAAGAATTGGTGTAAGGATAGCTTGGATCGCGATGAAGTGAGCCAGGAGAATTTGTGCAACGCTGTTATTGGGATTTATGAAGGCTTGAAACTCATCATGGGTCCAGTGGGATGGTGTGTTGTAGAGCATGACGAAGGTGGTGTATGTCTCTACCGGACTGTCATATGCATGACTGACTGTGCATACTAGTATTTCCCAATATGAAAGCTCCCAGTCCGACATGCTTAGAGCCTTGATGAGGTTGAGAGATAACGCGGCCATGTTGAGATCTTCGTGGTTAACGCAAGTCGGCGGCGACGTCCCGACGCGCATTCGCATTGTGTGGAGGTGGCCATCGTCACGGAATGCCTATATATCGTCAGTATGAGCTTCGGAACCATTCGATACGAGTGTATTTACACTGAAGATTGAGTCATCTCTCAACGACGTCTCGTCGCCTCCAATTAGATTGCACCCACGGACCATCGTGAGGAATTCTGCCATACCATCCTGTAAGTGGCTTGATTGGAAAGCAAGTGCTAGGGCTGCGGCCATTCTTGCATCTCGTTCGCAACTGGTCTTTGGAGGTACCGAGAGGGCTTCATTGAGAGACTTCATAGCTAAGATTCTATGCTGTATGGCCTGTTCGGCTACACCGGAATGCGTAACAGCATCCAAGTGCGACGCGGCTAGCGCTAGGATCGAGTGCATGAGATACTCATACTGAAATATTCAGCACTTCGGTTACCTCTTGGAGGCGTGGAGGAAAGTACATACCCTGTGTGCAAAGCCAGGAATCGCTGTGATCCAGATCTTGTCGGCTCCAACAGGGAGGTGCGGGTACGCTGTAATGAGAAAATGATGGAACAAACGCATATCCGCCATAGACTTCGATTGTTAGGTGTTGTGATGTTGAATGTAAGCCCAAGAATACACTCACGAAAATACCCAACGCTGATCGCGGATTGCCTACTTCCTGAGCCTGTGGCGATGGTCGAGGTCGCTGCATCGCTTGAATGATGTTTGCTGGATACTCGCACTGCAATCCCGCCTTGATACAATGGCTGCATTCAGGGTGCCTTTCGTTGCATTTGATCCTTCTGTGCTAGTGTCAGAACGTATGTACACACACACATACATACACCTGCGCTTGATCTTCTCCAAAAGTACCTCTTCTTGCAGTTGAAACAACCACGGCGTGACTTGGTATGTCCCTTCCTTGGAATTGGTTTGCGAGGCAGTGGCGGCGTACCCCCATTACCGCCGTCCGACAAAGTTGGCGAGTCACTCGAAGAGCTTTCGACCACACCGCCGCGATCTTGAGGCGACGACATTAACAATAAAGATACCAGAGGTACAAGAAAGATTTAGCATGTGTGATTCGCGGGTACGCTTCCCCTGTAGCAGTATATATTCTGCTGTGCTATGCAATAACCCCTAGATATGAACTTCGAGATCTGGGGGCTTAGACTGTGAGCGTGAAGCGACCCCGCGGATGGGGGTGGTTCATGTTAATCAGGGGACGCCAGGTGTACGGCTGAGCCCTACCTGGCTTGCAGCACTATACTGTAAAACAAACAGCTCCGACTAATAGGATTACGATCTCGCTTAAGAGCTCGATGACCGAGGCCTCCAAAAGGGTCTAGCATGCGAGGGCTCCAGATGTCTCCGGTTACTAGCCCGCTCACCGGTATGCAACCATACCGTTGGATGGCTTTGAGGGCTGTGTTACTCTCATGCGTTAACCTGCTGAGCATCTGTGATATGCAACCACTGCGGGCATACTTGCGAGCGTAAATCATAAATCGACAGACAACTTCGCCTTGATGGCCTCCAGGCCATCCCGGTTGCGTCGAGATGGCGTCGCAGGACCACCACTAGAATGCGACAACATATAAATATGGCTTTCACTGTTGCCTGTAGATGTTTGACAGACTATTTTTGCATCACGAGATGGGGACAAGCATTACAAGAGAGATCTGCGCTGATAGGTTGGCTTCTTGCTGTCGGCGTCCAAAAGACCGGTTATTGGAAGGGCCCAGAAGATTGCATGGTGTCGCCTTGACTCACCAAGCAAACGTGTACCAGGATACCTATTAACAATAGTTGGAGCTGCATGCAACTATCTCTGAGAGGTGATGTAACGCAATGGCCACGGTAGTCGAAGAGGCGGACTGCGAGTCCGTGGGAGACCAATAGAATGGTATCGATCAACCGAGGCAGAAAGGTTTCGCGTAATCTTGTTGTCTGTAGCATGCGAGGCGTACCAGGCACAAATGATGTTCAGGCAGCGAATATGCCAAAGGAAACGCTGGCTGGCCTTAAGCTAATCGCACAGCGGACAGTGGAATGCCAAGGCGCTATCGAAGCGACCATATTGGCGGCCGTCGTTCCAGGGTTCTCCCGAGTGCCATCCCCGCTGTGCTCCTCTTCTTACATGGTTCCCCTTTACGAGGTTGGTCCACGGCACAAAGTTTTGCGTTATCTACATTCATGGTGAAGCATGGCGGTCCTCGAAATCACCCAACTGCGTCTCAGGAAGGTGGCGGCAGACGATCCAGCACTGATACAAAGCCTGTCATCCGTCCGAGAAAAGCTGCGTACAAATTCACAGTTCTACAATTGTATCAAGGACCCCGCTTTGATCTACATTCTAGGCATATGGCCAAATTTAGATGCGCACCAAAAATTCCTGGATTCTCCAGCTCGAGACGAGGTTCTTGGCCCCCAAGAAGACATGCTTCAATTCTGTTGGACTATGCACGTGGAATTAGATGGCATGCACACACTTCCTCTAGAGGCCCCGATACTGGCAATAGAAAGGCTTATTTTTAAGAAAGAATGCATGGAGTCTGTCGAGAAGGTCATCGCCAGATATACGCAACAGCTTCAAAGAACGAATTCGTTCAAAACGGTATACGGCTGGCGATGTGATGCCGCACAAGAAACGCACGAAGCCCTCGTGTTCACTGGACATGGGAGTGCACAAATTCACAGCACCTTCGCAGCAAAGGGAATTGATGACAACAATACCGCCATGTTGAACGAACAATTCGAAACTGTGCAAGTCATACTTGGTAGAAATTTGGAGCGGAAAGATATTGGAATTTAACAGTTCGAGATGGATGTCTTTCTGCTTGAGTTCTGCAATTGTTCACTTCTCACATGAGCGGTAGGGTCTTCCAATACTGCCAAGGTGGCAAAGGAACTTAAGATCATGTCTGGTTGAAAAAGCACAACCGTGTCTGTTGTTTCTCCAAGGGTCCGGCTAGCCGGGTACACGACCCGGACAATACTAGCTAGCCTATGGATCGCTGGGCTCCAAACCATGCATCGAAGATTATGCTCCACACGAGAAACCATTCCTTTCAGAACCAGCAATAGAGTCTGTAGTAAGCACACCTGGAATTACGATTGCATACTCACCGGCATGTTCTTACATCTTTCGGTGGTATCCATTTTAGGACAATGGTCTTGGACTCGACACACAACCAATGGGATTCGAGTGCACTTTTCTTATTGCCGTATAAGACCTACGGGTGCTGTGGTTGCCTCGTAAGTTGCACAGCAGTACAAGAAGCCGATTGTGGGGCAGGCAGCACTGGGCGTGTTCTTGGCCTGCAACAAGGCGAGACGCTACGGCGAGACCGCTGTGCAAGGCTGAAGATAAGCTCAGAATCTTAACCCCATGTCCTATTGCTAGCGCTCTGGAGTCACCGACAATGATCAACAGATGCTACAATGCAGATGAGTCTGAGGTTACAATACCGGACAGCCGGTTTCTCTACCCCGCAATACACCCCGCTCAGACAGGGAGGAACCATCAACCTCCTAGTACAAGTAAACCTTACTATGACGATACTCGTCAGACACTTAACAAAGTCAGTGTCAGCACGCGTCGCAACCTTCGTTCGCTGTGTACCCCATCCGTTCAACTTCCAAACCGTAGGAGCGAGCACACGTACCGTTGACCTGTTCAAAGGGCATCGAGGTTGAAATTGCCCACCAAGATACACGCTCTTCTGCTCCAGCACAGGTGTATAGGCGGCCGCGAGCACCAAGCTTCAACATGAAAACCTTGATTCTTTGTATCCGGACTTTCACATATCTTGTAACACTGTCAAAGACAGGAACACATGCGAAGCAAATCCAAGGCTTGGATGCCCTGCGATGGATCGATCCGTTGATCGGCAGTAGGGATGGGGGAAATGTCTTCGCAGGTGCAACACTACCTTACAGCATGGCAAAAGGTTAGCAGCACGAGACAAATACCAACATCCAATGCTAAAACAAACAAAGCCGTTGCAGATGTAGATGGCGAGAATACTGGAGGGTTCTCCACCGATGGTAGCAACATCACTGGCTTCTCGGCTTTGCATGATTCTGGAACCGGAGGAAATCCAAGCTTAGGCAACTTCCCTATCTTTCCTCAAGTCTGCTCAGGCACTGATATCAACACATGCGAGTTCTCAATCGCAGCACGCGCAACTCATTATCGAAACGAATCAGTCGAAGCACGTCCAGGCTACTTTGGGGTAACACTGAAAAACGGGATACGCGCTGATATGACCGTCTCTGAACACGCTGCGCTCTTTCGCTTTAATTTCTCAGCAGCATCTATTCGAAAAGAAAGTTACGATCCGCTTGTAATGCTTGATCTGACAGATTTATGGGCGAGTCGCCAGAATGCTTCCATCACTATAGAGGCGGACGGAGGCCAGAAGGTGGGCAGAATGAAAGGCAATGCCACTTTTCTGCCAAGCTTCGGGGCAGGTTCTTATATGGCCTACTTTTGCCTGGATATATCTGGAGGGTCCGTCAAAGACTCTGGAGTGTGGGTCAACGATAGGGCTGGTGAACAACCAAAAGAGCTGCATGTTACGCGTGGGTTCAACAATTTCTATGTTCAAGCTGGTGGCTTCATACGCTTCAATGGCCCACTTTCTGGACCACTACTTGCGCGGGTAAAGTCTCTTCTGTATGAACTACACGTGAAACATACACTGACTTTTTTGGTTGACAACTTAGATGGGATTGAGTTTTATTAGCACTGACCAGGCTTGCCAGAGTGCTGAGAGCGAAATTCCAAGGCCCGATGCAGACTTCGATACACTCGTCACATCGGCCCAGAACGTATGGCGTGAGAAACTCACTCCAATAGTCATCGAAACTGGCGACATGGAAGACAACATACAGACCAGTTTTTGGAGTGCGGTCTACCGTACCATGATTTCACCTCAGAACTACACTGGCGAGAACCCACACTGGCAAAGCAACGAACCATATTTTGATAGTTTCTACTGTCTTTGGGATATGTGGCGCGTGCAACTACCTTTTCTCAGCGTCTTGGAACCACTGCTCATGTCTGGTTTGATACGAAGTCTTCTTGATACATACAAATACCGCGGTTGGTTACCAGACTGCATGATGAGCACCTGCAAAGGTTGGACACAGGGCGGTTCAAACGCCGACAATGTTTTAGTTGATGCCTACGTTAAAAACATAAGCGGTATAGACTGGGAACTCGCCTACGAAGCTATCGTCAACGACGCGGAGAACGAGCCTTTGGAGTGGAGTAAAGAGGGTCGTGGTGGCCTAACTAGTTGGAAAAACTTGAACTACATCCCAGTATCTGACTTTGACCCTTATGGCTTTGGCACAAACTCGAGGAGTATATCTCGATCACTGGAGTATGCTTACAACGACTATAACCTCGCCGCCCTGGCAAAAGGTCTTGGTAAGAATACGACAGCAAAGTATTTCTCTCGTGCGACAAACTGGCGAAACCTTTTCAAGACTGATCAAACTTCTTCCATCAATGGTGTCGATACGGGCTTTACGGGCTTTTTTCAACCGAAGAATCTAAACGGAACCTGGGGCTACCAAGACCCTATTGCCTGTAGTCCTTTGACGGACTTCTGTTCGCTGACGTCCAACCCTTCCGAGACATTTGAAAGCAGTGTATGGGAGTACATGTTTTTCGTACCTCACGATATCAGGGGAGTTATC